TCCACTTCTTAAAGTACTAGCAAGAACATTGAAGGACAACGTGGAGAAGATGCAGGGCCCATGACCTCTCAACCCTATAATATCATCCTCTTGCCTTCACGTTGTTGCCCTTTCTGGAGGGAGGCAGGATGAGAAGTGTTTCTGGCAGGCAGAGAAAGAGAGGTTTGTGACAGATTCTTTCAACTGAAACTACATTTTATTTTACCATTTGTTTAAATTGAAGTCTTTGTTTAAAATGGGCAAAGGCCCTTTTATATTCAATTTCATGAAAGAGAGCAGGTGTGCCTGACTTGAGTTCCACCTGAGACATCATGACATTAACTAACACAGAGTGACCCCAGATTCAGGTTTGTTGGGAACCTGTGGGAGACCCACCATTGTATTCTCAGCTCACGGTTCCGGCCCTTATCTGTTCCATCTTTATATTTCCTTTGCTGCTAGAACACAGTTGGTGCAGCATAAATATTTCTGGAATTGAAATAAGCTAGTGACTGAGGCTGCATTCCTTCAGTGACTCAACCTATTTCCCCTGCCCAACTAGAGTTTGAGTGGTTTCTCAGAGGTGAGAAATTAAATTGCATTCCCCAGGCTGCTAATAGTGGCATGAAACGGCCACTCAGCCTGATGTCACAATGAGTGTGTCTTCATGTTCTTTTGATAGGAAGTTAATGCAGCAGAGACTGTACCCACCTCCCTCTGCCAGGGTCCCAGGGGTGCTGAGAGAAGAGGACAGCTGAGAGCATCCTAGATTGGGAAGAGGAGACAGCTGGCGAGTATTTGTACCTGGCCACCTCCACTTCACTGACAGGACCTCGGTGAAGAGACTGTGGCTCCCACGCAGCTGTCAGCAGCGAGCTTATAGTAACAGTATCCTTCCATGGAGGCAGCTTCTCTGACACTAAGTATCATACTTACAACTTTCTATGCACTTTTTGAACAACCTGCACTTCCCCGCAGCCAGAGCAGTCATAGAGTAGGGCGTATTTCATTACTGCTGCTGCTAATTGTTTGTGTTTACAAAACCCAGTGTGTTTTATCCCTTGGATTTCCAATTCTCAGAACAGTTGTCAAACATGGCAGGGTAGATCTATATTTCCTTCCAAATGGCCGCAGAGCCTTGGGGCTGGGCAAGCTCTCTGCTGCTTCCCTGGCTGTATGCTAACCTTTACTAACCTACATTTTGTTTCTTACCTTCCTCCCACTCAGCTCATTTGAGTTTGCAAATCTCCTGGACTGGGTGCTTGCCCCGTGACTCAGACAGATCCTGGAGTGTGTATTCAGAGTGCCTGAAGGAAGAGCAAATGATCCTCTGATTGCTTGCCATTAGATCTGTGAAAGGAAAAAGGAGGCTGGAGGAGAACACTGCTCCCTGTGACTACCACCTGCTGCTGCTGGAAGGGTGGAGATGGCAAGCGGCGCTAGAATGATTGCAGTACATTATTTGGTAAAGATGAGGCTTTCTTTCCTTTCCTAATTTTTCCCATCTCTACCTGTGTCACCACAGACCTATGAGCAGTGTATTATTCAGCAACCTTTGGGGGAAAGCATCAGCAAAGGACAGAGGGGAAGGAATTGTTGTTGTTGTTCGGGCTTTCTCCTTGTTTTGTTTTAACTTTTAGGCAGGGTCTCCTAGAGCCTTTGTCCGGAGCTCCCTCTCTAGCTGAGGACGACAGTGAATTCCTGGTCCTCTTGCCTCTCTCTCCCTTGCACTGAGGTTACAGGCAAGCACCACCACTCTCAGCTTAGCAACAGAGATTGGTAAGTCTATCTTTTAGCTAGAATGTCTTCTTTTTCATCCCTATATAAGAGCATACAATCCTAAGAGGGCATCCTTGTATGTGGGCTCCCTTAGTTCACGGTAGATTGAGCCATCCTTACGTGTCGTGTGGCTATAATTTGTGACATAGTAAAAGAAATGACTAACAGCAAAGTAAAATAAATCAAAACAAAATGATGCCCTGTGAGAGGGGGCGGACCCCGAAGAATCACCGCGGAGGAGTCAGACTGCAGTGGCAGCCATGGCTGCTTTGCTACAGTCTGCTCTGGCAGCAGCTGTCCGGGATTCCATTCTCCCGGGGAACAGTCTGTCCAAATTCCACCCAAAAAGTCATAAAAATATTTGACCACAGAGGGCAAAGGATGAGTCTCCATAATGCGCATTTTTATACCCATAGATATCCTAAGCCATAAGGGCTAGAAATCCCAGAGGGCAAAAGACAGCTGCTCTATACTCTGATGGGAAAAACTGAAGAGGGTTATGGTTATCAGGATTTCCCAACTCAGAATGGGGTTGGTGGGGGTGAGGCCAAGAGACAGAGAGGCAGGAGAAAGAGGCAGGAAGAAGAAAAGGAAAAGAAACTAAGAAAGGGGGTTTGGTGATACATACTTTTAATCCCAGCACTCCGCAGGCTGAGGCAGGACTGTGGTCAACCTGAGCAGACCCTACTCCTGAGAGCAGTTAAGCAGCACAAACCAAAGACAATGAGGTTAAATAAAGAAAAAAAAAGGAGGGGGAGGAGGAGGGAGAGAAGGAAAAAGAAGGGGTGACCACAAGGACAACTCAAAGTTGGATGGGTAGGGAAGTGAGGAGGGTGGAAAAAGTTGATCTGGGTTGTCTTGGGGGAGGAAGTATGAATATGATCAAATATGATTAAAGTACAATATATGAAATACTGGAAGAAATAATAAAAGTATTATTTTAGAAGTTAATTAATAAACTCCTTCTGAGAGGAAAACTGAAAGAATTCCAGGGCAGCCTGCACTAATTGGGGAGACCTCTCATTAAAGGGCAGCCATAAAAGAAAACAAAAGAGGGCCCATGCTCCTGTCTCCAAGCACATACTCAAACATACTTCCTCCCTCTGGGTGAGGAAGACCCCTGGGCTGGCTCCTTCGCTCGATTTCATCACAACTCCCACTAAACAAGAATTCCCCGTTAAGGGGCTGGGGGCACCCTCTCGGCCTCTCTACCCTCGCTGTAAAGATCCGCTCGTTTCTTTTCTTCAGTTCTTTCTTTTCAAATGTTGCACAGAATAGCTTTCTCCACAGGATTATAATGGTTTATAATTTTATAAGGACTATCGTTTTATAATGTTCCTTATCCTACTACCTCCGATCTCTGGAGTAGCCCCTGCCGCATGCATCTCAGACCTGCTTAGGGCTCTTCTAGACACCTGAGCTGCCCCTCCCAAATCTTCCTCTCTTTTATTTTCTTTCGTCGAGACCTGTACTGTTGGGTTTAGCTCTAACAAAGAGAAGCTGGGAAGGAAGACAGCCACTCACTCTACGTGACCCAAAATATCACACCCTCCCCTTCATGGTCTAATCTCAGGCAGCAGTGATTATGTTACGTTACATAGCAAGTGGGAATTAAGGTTCATAACCCCTTAGCTTGACAGAGCTTTTCTTTAAAGTAAGGTTAACTCAAAGAGAGATGCAGAAGGTGGGGAGGGAGGCGCTAGACTGATAAGATGTAACAAGAATCTGACCCACAATTTCTGTTTGGGAAGATGGAAGAACAGGACAGAAGCCAAGGAACATGGGTGGCCTCTAGTAGCTGGAGTGGGAAAGGAAATGGATTCTCTTCATGGGCTTCCAGGAGGGAGCTCAGCTCTGCCAACACCTTGATTTTAACCCAGTGCGGCCCATTTCTAACTCCCAGCCTTCAAACCTGCACGGTAATGAATCTTGCTTGATGTAAGCCATTAACGCGGTGGGGTTTTGTTCCCACAGGAACAGCCCAGTCCAGCACTGCTTGTGGAATGTTGCAAGCCACCGCTGAGCTTCCGGAGGCAGCCAGTCACAGGCCTGGGCTGCCCAACCCTATTGGCAAGAGGAAGTTGGGTAGGATGGCTCCACCTCCACTCCGATTAAGGAGGTTGCCTATCCAGAAAATGTAATTCACACCAACAAGGGGGCAGCCCAGAGAGTGAGGAAAAGGAAGGTCTAGTCAGCCTCGGGTGGGTTCAACAACAGAGGCTGGAGGCAGAAGCCCGGGTCAGCACAGAGATTAGCCCCAGGAGCTATTGTCACTGTAGGCTTTCACCTGTCCTTGGATGATCTTTCAAGAATTCAGAGTTTTGAGACAAAAGCAGAGATGTAAGGGATGGTTCCTGGGAGCCCACGTGCGCAGAAGGTTGCAATAATGACAAATTGTGTAGTGTGTGTATACAGTTTGATTTGTTTTTATTTATGTCTTCGTCTTAGACCAAATATCTGTTGTGGTTAATGATGCACGCGGGACCCTTGTCACCCCAGGGAGCCCTAGAAACGTGCCTCAGCGCCGCTTTGGGTGCACGGTGAATTTCCCACTAAGAAAAGGATGGGGTTGGGGGGGGGTGAACCTTTCCAACCTGGCTTGCCTAAGTCCCCAAGGCCCACCCTGCTTAGAACCCCGTAGGTTCTCTTACACCTTCCCCCTCCGCTCAGTCCCCAGACACAAAGTTTCTTGTGTCCCCAAAGAGAGCATCCAACCACAGCGAAAGGCTTTCCGCCACCTCCTGGGACGTTGTCTCGGGCGGCTATAGCTGCTATGAGATACTGGGTCTCCTCGATACACCACTGCTCCGATGCAGAAAGTCGGCCCTCCCGGGCGTTGCAACCCCGGCTTCTTGGCCAGGGCACCAGCGGGTTCTGAAGGTGTCGCTTCCCGAGACCTGCAGCAGGCTGGAGACACCCGGGTGGCGCACAGGCAGCGCCGCGGGGTATGGTCCTAACGCCGCTGGGCGCCACCTGCAGCCTCTGGGCAGCCGATTTAGCGGTGTCAGTGCAGACTCCCGCCCCGGCCAGAAGCCGCTGCTTAATCTTCTGCAAAGAGTTAAGAGTGAGCGGGCTGCTGAGACTCCAGGGGCCTCGCCGGGTCCCCAGGCCCCGCTAGCCGCTCCTGATTGGCTGATCTCCTGTCAGTAGTAAAGAGGATCAGATAGCAAACTTGGGACCTTCATAAAGGCGTGGTGGCGATACTCCGCGACCGCTGGCAGCCTATGACATCAGCCAGGAACGCCTAGGATGCGGTTGCTCCTGGCCACCCTGAGAGGAGGAGGGTCCTGCCTGCTGGGAGTTAATTAGCCTCGCACGCGGCGAGGGGGGAGGCGCCAGTTTTCCGGGGACACTGGCGGCCACTGTACGTCCTCCTGCCCAAGGGAGCTCCCCGAGAGTTGGATGAATTCTGGGTTGTTAGCTGCTGTCCTCTGGGCTCCCGGGAGCCAGTTTCTGGTGAAAAGCAGGGGGCGTCTGGCCAGCGACCAGCGGCTTGCTGAGATTCACCATGACACTCCTGGGGTCTGAGCACTCTTTGCTGATTAGAAGGAAGTTCCGATCAGGTAGAGTAAGGCGTTCAGCACTCCTTCTTAAACTTTTCGTTTCTACCACTCTCCACTCAACTGCTTTCCAATGAATGCCTGGGCCTGCGCTGGCGGCCTCTGCTCTGTTCCCCCAAAGTGAACAACTGTGTTTGACTGAATGCCTTCAAATGCCTTCCCTTTCACCTGTGTTGAATGTGAGTTTTGTTTATGAATAATCCAATGTCTTTATTTTTTTTCTATATTTCTCCTCTATCGGTAAATAGAAAAATTTGAGGGGCCTCTCCAAAGCAAACAGTGTTGAAAAGGGATAAAGCGGGATCTGAAGTTAGCGAGTGGGTGCATTATCAGCTACAACTGCTGAGGAGATGAACCTAGAACTGTATATCAAGTCCAGGGGTCACTTAACATGTAGCTAATCCAAACAAATGTATTTCCCAAAAAGTCACTCGGAGGAAGTAAAAATAGCTAATTTGGAGCACACTAAGAATTTAAAATGACATCACTGTGGGGGGGGAAAAACCAGTGCCACAAATATTTTTTTCCCAAACCATCTGATATTTATAAATGGACAGTTTCCCCTAAAATTGTGGTGTTAGTGGCACACAGAGAAACTTCTGAAGGCACACTCAAGAGAGGTGAGTAGCAGGAAAGGGTTTGTATGGAGGCCTACAGGAGGTGCAGGAGTGTGTGGGTTCCCATCAGCATCCTGGGCAGGGCCACCTAGCTTTGCATGTTGTTGCTTTGATAACGGTGGTAACAGACCATTCATTGATGGTGGAACACTACTTCTGAGAAGGAGCCTTTGGATGAGAACTCGGTTGTAACAGGTGTCGGCTGGATGCTGGTGTCTCCTGTTCTCGATTATTTCTCTTGGCCCTTCTACATGGGCTACATGATTGTTTGACTTGAGATGGTTGGTTCAAAACTGAGCACAGTGAGTGATGGGCCAACAGGAGCCTCTGTAACTGCCTTAGCTGCTCCTGGTCTTTGGCTGTCTATGGGACCCACTATAGATTTTCTGTGGCTCTATACAGTGGGACAAGTTGAAGACTCAAGAGCTTAAAGTGCCCCTGCAGCTCTGGGGGAATATCTCCTAGCCACTAGCCACCAGTGTTAGCCATGGGTTTCATCCGTCCTTTCCTTTCCATGTCGAGGAGAGGTGGTTAGTCTGTTAATCAGAGACCTCACAAGTTTGGTAGCTTGCTCAAAACCGCAAGGCAATACTGCCACCTTTCTGAAGTAGTGAGGATGTCCTTTTGTTTTTGCATTAAGCTGGGTTTATTTCAAATGCTCCTGTGTGGTTTAGTGGAGGAGGAGGAGGAGGGGATTAGGGAGAGTCTCTAAAAGGATTTGGTGATGTTCTCAATAGTGAGCTTGCAAAACAGATTTGCCAAGGACCCCTGGGCTAACAGTGGGGAGGAAAGACAGTATCCACACCGTTCCAATCCCCATCTCAGTGGTTTGTGGAGGCCTGAGCTCTCCGGCTGGAACCTGCAGAACTTTATCCTGGAACTTTGGAGAAAAACAGCCTTACTTTTCCTCAGGCCTTTGTGTCATAAGGAAGGCAGTTTTGGGAAGCATGATACCAAAGCAGGAAGCTTAATCCCCCCTCTTTGATAAACAGGGGAAACTGGAATCTAGGATGGCCAAAACAAGGTGGGCTTCTGAGATGCCATGGTTGATAATCCCATACAAAATGAAGGAAAATATACAGCCTGTAAATACTAGGTATACTTTCTAGACAGCATGACCAAAGTGGACATATGTCTCTCAAGGCCTGGCTGGCAAGGGAACTTGGCTTCACTTTGTGGCTTACAGTGAATGAGGAAGGCTTCCACTTCTCTCTCTCTCTCTCTCTCTCTCTCTCTCTCTCTCTCTCCCTCTCCCTCTCTCCCTCCTCCTTCTCATCCACCCTGTCCTGCTTTTTGGGCCTCCTCTTCTTTTCTTGAGGAACTCCAGCCACAAACTCAAAGCTTCCTATAGGGCAGTGAATATTCACTTTAATAGTAGACCCTGGTATTGTGCTTTTAAAATTAATATTTCAAAACTAACCGAAGCCCGATTGTTTTGTGATGATAGTAATGGACTTGCTGTGATACAGTGCAGTCCCAGTCCACAGACAGTTAGTTCCTTTCATATTGAAACTGGAGTGAATGACAGCAATGGCTTATCAACTTTCCACTAACTCTGTCCAAGTAGCCTTGTGATTAACTGACTGACCCACCATAGGAGCTAGGGACTCTGAGTGTTTACATTGGTGAATATGTTTGGTCATGTAAATTAATCTTCTCTGACAGAAGCAGGGTGTCATAGCTGAGTGTAAGGGTCTCAGCCAGAGTAGCTGGGGTTTCAGCCACCATCTCTACCTTTTAGCTATGTGACCTCTTGCCTAGGCCAGAGTCATAATTCTCTCTGTCTTACTCATCTCACACCTGAATAACGAAGGCGTTTCTATGGTGCTTATAAGAGCTAAATATGATAACCCGAACATATTATTTAGGACACAGACCAACGCTGTTGAGCCCTCAGGACTGATGCTCTTTGGCGCTGGGATCCTCAATCTGCCCTGGTTTCCCTCTAGACTTTGGTTATTTAACTTGTCCAAGTGGAAAGGTGTTTTCTTAGGTCCCTTTGGTATCATGCATGGCTCTTAGCAGGCATAAAGATGGTATGGGAACAAGTGAGATTATTAGACTGTATGGCCCTGGTGGGGGGTGGGGGTTGGAGGGTGAGGGCGAAGTGTAAGTAGGAAACAGCTCGCCTACAATTGTATGGTTGTTATTTTTAAACTGATCACATTTTTTATAACGTTTGTTTTCTCATTGTTAATTCAATACTTGTAATTGGTGTCACTTTCTGCAGTTTTTCTTAGTATCAATCTCTTTGTCCACAAAATACAAGGACATACACAGAAACCCAGGGAAATCAAAAGGAAAGAGGTTCCCTCATGGTTTTTGTTTCAAAAGAAAACAACGCATTTCCAGGTTTTCGCCCTTTGTCTCCCTCTTACCCATCTAAAAAGCCGAAACCAAAGCAAACTCGGTACCCGATGTTGCCAGCCTTGCTCCTCAGAAATGTAGACTTCTCAGTTTTGGCAAATAGAACAGCCTGTTCAGTTTTAATTTTGAACAATGATAAGCTTTCAGTATTTATCAATATTCAGGACAACATTTTCTCTGAAAGGCGCATTTATTTCCCTGTGCCTGTAATATTTTCCTCGGCAATCACCTACAGTCCCAGAACTGTTTCTCCAGTGTTCTGCTCTCCTGGCAAATATCCCATGAGTCTCTTGAGATTTCGGGTACCCTAAATTGCAGAATTCATATCTTAGCTAAGACTCAGACTTAGGTGGGGCAGTATGAGAGGAAACCTGGGTGATCTGGGGCAGACCCATGATTTAGAAGGAAGGAAGCCGTCAGGTTTACTTCTGCCTTCCTGGCAAGGAGGGGGTGCTATTACCACACAACTGTAGCTAAAAGAAGCTGGGGGTTATCAAAATAAGCACTGAAGACTCAGTGCTCAGAGTCCGGCCTCCCATGTATGTGAGTCCTTGCTTGTCCTTCAAGACAAAGCCCAGGGCCTCCCTGACGGATTCTGGACCCTTCCTGTCCCTCTGTCCTCCATCCTGCAGACAGTGTAGGAGATTACTAAGTCCCACATTAAACTAGATCCTTAATAGAGACTGAATTGTCTCTTTTGTGAGGTGAAGCCATTAGTTGGAGAGGCTGGTCCCTGATTTACCATCGTAGTCACTACTGAAGCAAGTCCACTATACCCTAAAAAATATCATGACGCTGCCTTAAACCATTAACTAGTTTTAAAGTCCTAGACAACAAATTTAACCTTAAGGGAGGCCTTTTCTATTACATATAACCAGGATGGATATGGATTTAATTTGGCTTCTTTAGTCTGTGTTTTTGTCAAGCGTAAAAGAGAAGATTTCTAACCGATTCATTTCGTTGGTTATCCCCAGACTTTACTTCTGCCCACTCCCAACTGAATGGCCTTACCTGTTTGTGCAAATTTTTAGAACACTACAAGCATTAATTTTAAATGTTAAAGCATTATCATATGAGACCATAACTAACTGGAGTTTAACAAATTGTATTTCAGTTTTTAAATAGGAATCTTAACTCATCTTTTAATTATTTATTTACTTTGTAGATCAGTTAACTTTCTAGGCCAAGGTAACCTATAGCTCACTATGTAGCCCAGGATGGCTTAGAACTATGGTGATCCCCCTGCCTCAACCTCCTGGTGCTGGGATTATAGACATGAGCCTCCATGCCCAGTGATACTTCAAATCTTTTGTAAAGGGCGAAGACACTTACAATGTCTGACTAGGATCGCCTTCTAGAGACCGTTGCATTTCCCCGAGTCCGACAGTAGTGGATTTGTTCACCCAGCATGGGCTCCTTCCTCTATCCCTGTCTGAGTTAGAGGCAAGAGGCCCGCCCTTCTGCCTTCCCTATTTTTATCCCCTATCCACTCAAAACCTTTGCACAGACTAAACATTTTACTTATTTATTGGTTTACTATTTTCCCATGTGTATAAGAAGAATTCTTGCCCGGTTTTGGTTCATTGTTTTTACATTCTACCACCTAGGCCAGGACTTGGCATGGAAGGGTCACCCCCACAAACATGTGCTAAGAGCTGGGGGGTCACTCGGTAATACACTGTGTCTTCAGTAGACTCGGAGTTTGCTCCTCATGGCTTCAGAAAAAAAACGTTAAATACTTGTATTTCCCACAAAGACCGTTCAAAAACAATTAAAGTAAAGGTTATCTGGTTTTTTTTTCAGTGTGTGGGTAGGTGTTGAAATTAACTTAAAAAGGGGGTGCGGAGTTGGTGAGTACAACATTGAGAACTGCAGCCAGCTCTTATCTTCGTTAGCAAGCAATAATAAGGCCCGGAAAGAACAGGGTGTATGAATTTAAAATCCAGAATACTATCCGAGTGGGGGAGGAACCCAGAGTAAGGAAGTAGGGTTTGCTCTGGAGTTTGGAAGTGGTCATTC